ACCTTAATCTGGATGGGTTTTTTTTCGAATTTCATTCATTTGCCTGCAAATTTCATGATGTCATTTTTTAATAGCTAAGTAATACTCCACTGTGTAAATATACTAGATTTTCTTTTTTCATTCTTACGTTGAGAGATAACTAGGTTGTATCCAGTTTCTGAATGTTGTGAATAGAGCAGCAATGAACATTGTTAAGCAAGTCTCCTATTGGGTACGGTAAAGCGCATCTTTCCAAAGAACCACCATATTGATTTCCATAGTGGCTGTACAAGTTTGTACTCCCACCAGCAATGGATGAGTGTTCCCCTTGTTCTACATCCTCAACAGATCAAGTTGTCACTGTGTAAGTGATCTTAGCTATTCTGACAGGTGTAAGATGAGATCTCAAAGTAGTTTTGATTTGCAGTCCACTGATGACTAAGGATGTTGAACATTTCTTAAAGTGTCTTCAGTCATCTCAGTTTCTTCTATTGAGAGTTTTCTCTTTAGATCTTTACGTCCATTTAAAAAAATTGATTATTTGGAGTATTTGATATCTAGTTTTTTGAGTTCTTTATATATTTTGGATATTAGTCTTTTATCAGATATGGAGTTGGTAAAAAATTTTTTCCACTCTATAGGCTGCCACTGAATGACATTAACCTTTGCCTTATAGAAGTTTCTCAGTTTCATGAGGTACCATTTATTAATTTTAATCTTAAGAATTTCTTATCTATTAGTGCTTCTTGCTCAGTAAGTGAATCTTTAAAATACATCTTTCTATCTAAAGGATCTGCACTTAGTAGTATCTATATACATGTCACTGGTATTTCCCATGAATAACTAAGAGTGCCATCATGCTAGGCTTTATTTTTATGCTTTGTCATTTTGTTAACATAGTTTTATTTGCCATTGGTCATTGGATTTTTTTCCTCAGAAATTTTAAAGAGCTAGTTATAGTGACCTGCAGTTCCAGCACTTGAAAGGTAGAGCAAGGACGATCTGATGTTCATGACCAGCTTCAGCTACATAGTAAGTTTGAGGCCAGTCTGAACTTTATGAGAGCCTATATCTGTACAAAACAAAGTCATAATAGAAAGGCTATCTAAAGCTAATTCTGAGACTTTCTTTCATGAGTCATAAAGAACCTAAGGTTTGACATACCTTATTCCATTGAGGTCCCAATGTAGGCTGTGACTACCAGGCTGCTGTGAAGAAAACTTCAACAAAGTAAAATCTAAATATAAAATAGACATGAGAGGAGTTTTATGTAGCCTCCTTCGTCTGAAACTTTACTTTTTCTTTGTTCAGATTCATCTGGTTTTTGGGAGGAGGGAAGAGTCAGGACATGGTTTCTTTGTGTATACCTGGCTGTCCTTGTACTCCTAGGTTGTCCTCGAACTTGGAGATCTACCTACCTCTGCCTCCTTAGTGGTAGAATTAAAGGCGGGCGCTACACTGTCCAGCAAATTCACCTGTTCTTAATCATTTCTTTACCATAGATTTTTGTTTAGTTGGTTGGTAGATTAGTCAGTTTTGTTTGATCTTTTTGTTACTGAAGATTAAGCCCACGGTCTTGCACTTGTGCAAATGCTCTAGACTGAGCTGTATCTTCAACCTGGAAGATTTGTATAAGAGTTATTTCCTAGATTTTCTACCCTATATTACGTGCATATATCTATATAATTAATATTTTCATGACAATTAGCATATAAATACACGCATAATAAATAAAAATAGCTCATAAGTAAAAAAATACCAAGCTTAACAAAGCAGCAGTCAGATGCACATAGTTAAACATCACCTTGACTAACCAGTCTTGTTATTCATGGTGCCAACTCAGTTAATCAGTGTTCGTGGCTTGGATACTGAACTGGAGATTAATGACAAAGTGGAAGCAATTGTAGGATCAAGATTTTTAAGACAAACACACATCATACCCCAAACGGCATGCATGGAATCAGTGTAGTCAGTCGTCTGTGGTGATGTACTTTCAGTGTTCTCCTTCACTGAGCCACTGTGAGCAGCCCCTGACGCTGGCAGCCTACTGATCAAGGAAGGCTGGCCTCTCACCAGGGCTTCTGAACCTCTTACGTTCATATTTATCATTTGAAGAACTGAAGAGAAGACTATGATAGGGTGTTTTTGTCTGAAACTTACAAATGTAAAGTTGCTTTTTATTTCTCTAAATTAGATTTGTAAAGCACATAGGTTAATTATATAGTTGCAGGAAAGCATATTACAAATATAATATTTACACTCATCTCAACTTGGTTGTCAAACATCAACTGTACGGCGTCAGATTTCCCTTAACCTCATGGGCCTTTAATGAAAAATAAATTGAGAAGTGAGTTGAAAACTGTATTGTTCTCTTGCTGCTGAAGGACATTTTCATGAGGAAGAATCTTACTCTGGTATATCTCTTAAGTGATTTGCTGTTCTCCTTGTATGATGGATAAAAAAACAGGAAGTGTGTGTGTATGTGTGTGTGTGTGTGTGTACACATGTACACATGTGTGTGCCCATGCATGTGGGGGGGGGACTGGTAATCAGGTCAAGAGTGAAAGTAAATAATATCTGAGGAAGTAGCTAAGTCAGTCACATCCTTAAAGGGCACCATAAGAATGCCAGATGACTCATACTTTTCCTCTTTGATTCCTTGAGAGACAGAAGAGGTCACTGATATCTAAAACATGTAGCCTCATAACTGATTCTTCCTTCAAAAGCCAAAGCTAGGTGGTGATTTGCTCATAGCCCATGGCCCATCCTGTCACGGGTCATGTGGTCCCACATGTGAACAGGAAGGTGAGAATGGGTGAACTCTCGCCTCGGTTGTGCCATCCATCAAAGAATAAATGGAGCAGATCCATGTGTGCAGCTGAACACGGAGGTGAGGGTGCTGTCCTTCTCACACAGGGGCCTTTGTCTCCCGGACATGATCTGGCATTAGGAGGGGATGCACTGGGCCTCAACTTTATAGCAAATTACTAACCCATTATCACACTAGAACACAGGATCATTTATCTTCTAATCCAAACTGTCACCTGTTCTTCATTTACCAGTCAATAATCATTAATTATGCTTTGTGGAAATTTAAACAAAGCCTTATTCCTCTGTTAAAAACCAGTAAACTCTTTAGCAATAACAAATAGATCTGGAATTGTATATCCTTTCACTCCCCATTCCCAGACTGGAGTCTGGCACAGTTTGAACTGTAGAGGAAATGCCTAGAAATTGATAGGTCAAAGGTCACAAATAGTCTGATGGAAAGAAAAGAGCAGACTCTTGGTTCTGGCTCCCTTGAAAGCAAGAGGCTCCCACTGATCACCAATCCTGCCAGGAACATACAAGTCCTAAGGACCTGACCTGGCCTCATGTAGACAGACCTACAGCAACCTGAAATCTTGTCCTTTCATTTCTTCTAATCCTTTGTTTCCTTCTGAGAGAGAGAAAGAGAGAGAGAGAGAGAGAGAGAGAGAGAGAGAGAGAGAGTCGGAGGAGATTTGAAGAAAAAAATCAGCTGAGTGGTCCTGGAGTGTCAACTAAAATGTTATTTTTAGATTGGAAATCTGAGTCAAGCACACTTGTTTGTATTTACCCTGTTCAAATCTAGTCCCTCAGACAAATGTTCAAACAGAAATTTTAGCTGGAAACATATTTTTTCTAAAACTCTAGAAATAGTTTGACAAAAGCCAAAATGTGTGTGTTTGTTTATGTGTATCTGTATATGTGCATGCATGCATATGCACATATGTGTGTGGTTGACATGCTGCAGGTTTTCACCTAATTAAGAGAGGTAAAAGGGTTCTAAAGGGCAGCTTGAGACCAGGTAGGGCACAGTGCATTGTGTGTTTGATTCACAGGGAGACCGCACTTATCCCAACAGGTAGACTCAGGACTCTGGTCCAGAACATGGCAGCAGAGGTCAACTTTTTAAGACAAATTGGGAAAGATCATACATTCCAGGTTATGAGGCACATGATCAATCATAGCCTACAAGAAGTCCCAGGCCTACGCTCATACATGAATACCAGCTACACTTACGTTTTAAAAATATTTTGGGGTGTGTTTGTGTGTGTGTGTGTGTGTGTGTGTGTGTGTGTGTGTGTGTGTACATGGGAGTGCAGATGCCCATGGAAGATAGGTCAGATCCCTGGAACACTGGAGCAGTTGACACTACCTGATGTGAGTACTAGGAATCAAATTCCTGTCTTCTGGGAGAGCAGTGAGTAGAATGAAACACTGAGCCATTTCTCCAGCCCCATAATCTAGATCCCCATGTATACATATATCTGTAGAGTTGATATGTAATTCTAAGCTGTGGAAACTGTAGACCTACATACTACTGATAAATGCTTTTCTAAACAAATAGAGTCAATTGTGGCAGTTGCTCCTAGTCCATGGTTCAAAATGCTGCTTCATTTGTGCCAACCATCTTCTCTAACTCTCAGTATGTACATTTCTGTCACACTACGAAGGATGGGTATCCGATGTTGACAACTTGTTCAAATGTAGTAGTTTCTACTATCTGACTCTATTAACAGTGTTTCTTTTTACTGCTATGTTTTACATTTAAATTTTGAGAAATGGGATTCTACTTTTGAGGATTTTAAAAGACTTTTTTTTTTGGCCTGCCATCTGTGGCATGAAGGACAATTAAAAAATGCTTCTGGAATTATTCTTGCATAGATATTCTATATAACGGTTATTGACTGGATATTAATATATGGTTTCCTCTTAACTTGTGGTCTGGAGACCCACTGTGTAGGAATCTCCTAGTCTGCTGAAAATAAAGATCCCCTGAGCCAATGATATGGCCTAGTGTTCACACCAAGATGCTCTCCAAATTTTTCTGATGTATATTAAATTGTGAGAGCTATCTTCAGTAATTAGAATACTACATTAAATTCATACTCATTTTCTAATTCTAACTTCCATATCCAATCATGTGTTTTGATAATATTACATTCCCACCCTGATCATGAAGTAACTCTCACATGACTTTACTTCTTTCTCTCTAGGCTATGTGGCTGATGTTGCAAAATGATGAGCCAGAAGACTTTGTTATAGCCACTGGGGAAGTTCATAGCGTCCGTGAATTTGTTGAGAAATCATTCATGCACATCGGAAAAACCATTGTGTAAGTATACCTGCTGGTTGCTTGCCACTTGCTCACCGGGTCTTTGTTGTTCATGTTCTTCCACTTAATTCTGCTTACCATCTCCCTCTCTCAGTCTCTTGTTTTTTGTTTTTCTTTTTTGTTTTTTTTCCTTTTTTTTGAGAAAGTAATTTTATTAAATTATAAAAGTTTCCATTTCTGCCCCTCCTCCCAACACCCTCCCACTCCCCCCACTTCCTCTCCTCCTCCCTCTCCATCCCTAAGAGCAGACAGGGTTTCCTGCCCTGTGGGAAGTTCAGGTTCCTCCCCCTTCCCTCTAGGTCCAGGAAGGTGAGCATCCAAACAGACTGGATCCCAAAAATCCAGTATATGCAGAGGAAACAAGTCCCAGTGTCATTGTCAATGGCTTTTCAGAAAGACCCCATGCCAGCCACATTCAGAGAATCCAGCCACATTCAGAGAATCCAGCCACATTCAGAGAATCTGGTTGGATCACGTGCTCGTTCAGTCCCAGTCCAACTGGCCTTGGTGAACTCTCATTAGATCAGTCCCCTTGTATCAGTGGGTGAACGCACTCCTCACGGTCCTGCCTTTCTTGTTCATGTTCTCCCCCCTTCTGCTCCTCATTTAGACTTTGGGGGCTCAGTCCAGTGCTCCAGTGTGAGTCTCTGTCTCAATCTCCATCCATCAACGGGTGAAGGTTCCCTCTGATCTTGCCTTCTTTGCCCACGTTCTCTTTCCTTCTGCTTCTCGTTTGGACCTAGGGAGTTAAGTCCAGTGTTCCAATGTGGGTCTCTGTCTCTATCTCCATCCATCGCCAGATGAAGGTTCTATGGTGATATGCAAAATATTCATCAGTATGGTTATGGGCCAAGGCCGGTTCAGGCACCCTCTTCTCTGTCCAGAAAACAATCTGGAGATCTCTCCTTGGACCTGGGATCCCCTTTATAATCAAGTCTCTTGTAAACCCTAAAATGACTCCCTTAGTTGAGATATATACTTCCCTGCTCCCATATCCATCCTTCCTCCCTCCCCCCATCCCAATCCCCCGAGCTTTCCCCATTCCTCCCCTACTCCCTTCTCTCTAACCCTCTCCCCTTCCAACAACCCTCCTACCCCCCCATGCATCCGAAGTTGCCTGGCACTCTTGTCTACTTCCAATCTCCAGGAGGATAACTACATGATTTTCTTCAGGTTCACCTTCTTATTTAGCTTCTCTAGGATCATGAATAATAGGCTCAAAGACCTTTAATTACGGTTAGAATCCACTTATGAGTGAATACATACCATATTCCTCTTTTTGGGTCTGGTTTACCTCACTCAGTAAAGCGTTTTCTATTTCCATCCATTTGCATGCAAAATTCAAGATGTCATTGTTTTTTACCGCTGAGTAGAACTCTAATGTGTATATGTTCCACACCTTTTTTAACCATTCTTCTATTGAGGGGCACCTAGGTTGTTTCCAGGTTCTGGCTATTACAAATAGTGCTGCTATGAACATAGTTGAACAAATGCTTTTGTGGTATGATAGGGCATCTCTTGGGTATATTCCCAAGAGTGGAATTGCTGGGTCTTGAGGGAGGTTGACTCCCAGTTTCCTGAGAAACCGCCACACTGATTTCCACAGTGGCTGCACAAGTTTGCATTCCCACCAACAATGGATGAGAGTTCCGCTCGCTCCACATCCTCTCCAGCATAGGCTATCATTGAGGTTTCGACTTTAGCTAATCTGATCGGTGTAAAATGGTATCTCATAGTTTTCTTAAAAGACAGATAAGGAGCTGGATGTAGTACTACAAGCCTATAATTTCCTAACTCGAGGAGCTGTCAGGAATACTAGGGGTGCAAAGTCAGTCTGAGCTATATATCTAGCAAGATTTTTTTCTTAAACACAAAAAGATTGGCCAGGCCGTGGTGGCACACGTATTTAATCCCAGCACTTGGGAGGCAGAGACAGGAAGATCTCTGTTAGTTTGAGGCCAGCCTGGTCTACAAGAGCTAGTTCCAGGACAGGTTCCAAAGCTACATAGAAATTCTGTCTTGAAAAACCAAAAAAAAAAAAAAAGAAAGAAAAAAAGACTGAATATTGTATTGTGGCTATATGTTATGTTTTGTGAATCCATTTCTCTGTTGCTCAGACAGCTGAATTCTTTTTACCTTGTAAGCTACTGACAGTAGCACTAATGTGACTATTAATTCGCAGATGCATATGTTGGTCCTGCCTTCATTTTTCTCATGTGTTATATTTGGGTAAAATTTGTATGTCGTATGGTAATATGTTTAACTTTTTTAAGGTGCAGATAAACTATTTTCCAAGATTCCTTTTTAAAACAGAAAAAAAGTTTATGGTTTCTGGCCATGATGAATAAAAGAAACTAGACAATCTTTTACTAGTTATTTAATTATTGTTATTTGTTTGTTTCTGTTTTGGGGACAGGGTCTCTCTTCAGAGCCCTAGTTATCCTGGAACTCTCTGTAATGACTAGCCTGGCCTTGAACTCACAGAGATTCACCTGCCCCTGCCTCCCAGAGTGCAGAAATTAAAGATGTGCACCCCCATGTCTGGCTACACTTAACCTTTTAATTTAACTGGTAAACTAGGTAAAATTCATGACAATAAAGGATTGTGGTCCCTAATAGAATATCAGGGTCAAGTATTATCTTGACCTCTTTCCTGAAGTCATAGTGAACCACGGAGTTTAAAAATGTACCCCCCACCCCCGCAGTTGAAAACTTTACTAAGAGTCTAAAAGACCTAGACTTTAGAGTACAGAGCTTAATAAAGATGATCTCAGAGTCCAGAAAAGGGCACTGAGTCTCCTGGAGCTGGAATTACAGGTAGTTGTAAGCTTCCCAGTATGGGTGCTGGTCTTCCGTAAGAACTGTACATGATCTTAGCCACTGAGCCTTCAATCTAGCTTTGGTTAAGGAATTCTCATGTTTGTTAAGTGTAGTAGTATCATAGACTGTGCCTTGCTGCTTTAGTTTTGTTATGGTGCATTTTCAAATAGCAAATATATTATATTTCACTAGCTTATCACTCTATGGCATTTATGTTATGTACATGTTCCTATTGAATTTATAGGTCAATACGGGAGAAAGGTGAAGATTTCTTAAGCTAGGAAATTCAAGGATGATTTTTTTTAATGGTGGTTGGGGTGTTAGGTCAGTGGTAGTGCTTGCCAGCTCTGTAGGAGACATGGATTTGATCCCATCACTAAAAGAGAAAACAGTGGTTTTCATAAAATCAGTGGTACAGTTTAAAATCTCTCCTCTTTGAATATGACCACTAGCAAAATAAGTTGAGGCCATAGTCTTAAAGAAAAAAATGTGTGTGTGTGTGTGTGTGTGTATGTATGTATGTATGTATGTGTGTCATATAAAACAAAAATACTTATAACTAACACCTTTAACTTCAATGATTCAACAATAAAAAGATAACTCAAGCCCGTCATTGTGGAGCACAGCTATAGTCCCAGAACTGAGAAGGCTGAGGCAAAAAGACCTGCTCAAGACCTTGTCTCAAATGAGGGGGAAAAAAGACACTGCACTAAAAAAATGAGCAAATTTTTGAAATTTTAAACCTGTGCAAGAAAAAAATGGTCAGTGTGAATGGATATTTGAGCAAAGTATATTGAAACTGCAAACTAATACCAAAATTCTTTTTTTTTTTTGAATGGCCAGAATACAGAAACTGACTATGCTAAATGGTGATGAAGAGATGAAGTACTGAAAGTAGCAATACTGTGAAATCACTTTGAGAAATAGTTCTGCTTTCTTATAAAAATTAACCAATATTTACTGTGCCACCAGCAGTTCTTAATTTTTTTGGAGATATTGAAAATAAATACTTAGCAACATATAGTAAATATGCATAGTAATGTTATTTCTAATGACACATTATCTCTCCCAATATCTAATCAACCAATATGTAGATAATCAAGTTTAATACTACTCAATGAAGAAGATGTATAAATTATTTATATATATAAAAATATATATATATATATCAGTGAATCATTAAAAATCTTAGTTATGCCTAAATGAAAGAATAAGATACACGGAAGCACATACTGTATGATTTAAATGATACCCTAAGAAAATGAATTGGTATGCCAGAAAGCCAAGCAAGATTTACCCAAGCATGACTGGGTAAATGGCATTTGTCTCACCAAATTACAGCCTGGGAAACACGTGTCTAAATATGGCATGAGTGACTGGGAATCTTCTGAATGAAAGGAATCTTGATTGTGGTGGTGGTTCTAGAACTCATCAAACTACATATCTGTTATACATTTTTTACTTCTAAATTAACTTCAGTCTAATTGATTTTATATAAATAGAAAATAAGAAACTTCTAAGACAGCATTGTGGAAATGTATAAGTTAATTTGTTATGTAACTATTGAAAATAGTGCTGAGGGAACACAAATATGATAAAAACAAGGCTATAGTGACATTCAGTGAAAAATAAGCCAGGATTCAAGTTTAGATGTAATTTACATACCCTGCAGATGTGCATGTGGTAGATCACAAGAAAATGTGTCAGGCTTTGAGGATGGTTTCCATGTGGTTGCACTCTGGGGGGATTTTAACTTTCTATCCTACATTTTTATTTTTTGAAATTTTTCTTAGATTTATTTTTATTTTATTTTATGTGTATGATGTTTTCCTGTACAGATGTGCACCACATGTGTGTCTGGTGCCTAAAGAGGTCAGAAGGTGGTGTTGGATGCCCTGGAACTAGAATTACAGGTGGTTAGGATCCACTATATAGGTACTGTGTACTAAACCCACATCTTCTACAAGAGCATCAAATGCTCTTAACCTTCAAGCCACCTCTCCAGACCTGCCACCTCCTCACAACATACATTTCTCTGTTTCCCAAATACTATAATTAACTTGTATGCTTTGTGGTAAAAAAGTCATCTTAAACACATCTTTAATTGAGAGCAGGCTTACAAATGTATCTCCCACTAAGACACTTTTCTGAAAGAAAAAAAAATGCAGGACAGCTTCCCT